ATTTCCTTCATTCTGCTTCCAAATAACTTGATGACATTGCTTGGAGGATATTAAAATATCGTAGTAATTTCGTACATTTTTAAAAATTTTTATTGTGAATTTAGAATAATAATAATAATATCTCTTTTGAAATATTAAATTACTTTATATGATATTTTTTGTATAAAATGTGAATATTATGTTATGTATATCTTTCCTGTGCACAATATATGTATTTGTCAGTTTTATGTTTAATATTGTAGATCCTACCAGCAATGTTAATTTGCACCAAAGTTACAAACTTACTTCTCATCTTATTCGCATGGTAGAATATTCGCATTCAAAACTGAATTATTACTCCTGTCCTGAAGGCATACATGAAAATTTAAAGACTTTCGCACTTGCAGAAGTTTCCAAGTTAAGTTTTAATACAGAAGCATGTGTTAGGATAAAATTATCAGGCAAACTGCATCAATTATTACATACACGTCTGTATATATCCTCTAGTCTTTCGCTTTAAATATATAAGTAAAATATTTTTAATGCCTACAAATTATTTAATATATACGTTGCAAGAAAGTAGTGTATTTATTTAATCCTACGAATACATTCGGCAAATTGCGGAAGAGGAAACAATCTCATCAAACTTATCGATCGCATGTCTTGTCGCTTGAAGTATCTCCTTCAAAAGCGAGTGACTATATGATGATGTCGTTACACTCAAATCGGCACAATTAAATCAGCATATCGTAATACCGGGAATGAAGATGTTGCTCGATGCTGTGCTATCTATGGGGAAATCCTCATTCACGCCCCTATATTCACAACCCTATCCCTTTCCTTGATTTCGATCATTCATTCGGCTTAATATTGACGGAATACTCACGATCAGTGGGCGAGTTGCGTGTTAAATGTCGCGTAATCGGAGCTATGACATCAAATGTCTCGTTTAATTAGCGGGGAAATGAAATGATCATCCAGCATCTGATGTTAATACAGCTATAACCATAGACAGTTGTATTAATGCCTTTGTTGCGATCTAAGCTGGAGAATCGTATTATGCAGGCTATAATCAGCGTTAATTATAACGTCGCAAAGAGATTTCTGCTGCTAATTGTATCAGCACGAAACCCTGTGGAGATAAGCTTAGCGGGCATCTTTCTGTTTGATCAGAGTGTAACAGATGCCGGCCTGCAAACGGCAGGCACACCATTACGATTAATTTGGTCTCGTCGTGTACATGCTGGTTGAATGTGCATGTTAGAATACTCTCTTTATAAAGTTCTGTTATATACAGCTCTATTATACATTTATTATTCAAATCTAAAATAACGGAATATATCTTTAATTTGACGTAATAAAATGGATTTTCAATTAATATTTATATATATTGCGCAATAAAATAAATAAATTTTTGTAAATTTCTGTTTTAATATAATTTCACAAATCTAGCTAACATAAATCTTTATTTGTACAATCGTCAGAGTAATTAAAACTATATTTTATTTAAATCAAACGAAATTAATTTTAAACGCGTACTTGTATTAACACGTAAATAATATCAATATTATAATATAAATATATAAATATATAAATG